TCTCTTCTACAGCTTCACTTACAACAAAATTATTTCTTCCATACAATGGTTTGATTTTGAAATAATTTACTTTTAATAGTCTTCATTTTTTTTTTTTTTTTTTTTTAACCATTTTGGCTTTAAACGAAACACCCTGTACATTTTTCTCAACTTCGATATGTTCCTTCCTTCTAGGTCGGAAAGTAAAAATGGCAAAAAGTGTTGAAGTGTGTCACTTTCCGTAAAGATACGCTAAAGCACAGCCAATAGTCATCGTTATACATATACGTTATGTATGTATGCATGGAACACGCCCGGCAATCAAGTATTAACTGTATCGCTCTTGGTCTCTCTGTTACTCGCTTACTATTGCAATTTCTCGCTCATTTTCACTCATTCCCATTCTATCTCACTGTTTCCCAGTCACTCTCAGTTTCTTATTCGAGTCTCCGACGTACATGGAATTGACCGAGGCGAATAGATTGTTTCCATTCGATTATTGTGCGACAACTTAAAAAGAAAATGTAATGTCTAGAATGCAAAAATAGGTGAATGCAATTTCAGCATTCTGGGTGGACATATTTACGGGTATTTTAAATTTAATAACTGCAAATATATGTAGGAAGTAATATAATGAAGTCATGTCCTAAAGCAGAGGCTTCTAAACCTTGATTTTCTGTAATAGTCTATCCAGGTTATTTTACACATTTATTAATGCATATTTTAGGAAAAAATATTCTTTTTTCATGAACAAATATGTTGCATCCTCAAATTTTATAATTCTATTCTATTCTAATTTTAATTCTATCCCATAAACCATTGTTCGTTTCTCATTTACATTGTCTTGTTTCTTTTATTTCTTATTCGAAATTTGCATCTAGAGATCTATCTTATCATTTGAAAAATATATTATTCCAGTGATTCTGCACTGGAATCAAATAATTCGTTTCGAGGATTAAATTTCTAAAAGTATTAATTCTTGATCCATAAAAAATACAAATTTAATCATTCATCAACTAACGTTCCCTCAAATGAATATTTGTTCTTGTACAGATTGCTAGGTATCGTTTGTCATTTCTTTTTTTTAATTTGCCATCTGAAGTAAAGTTTCTCCTATTTTACTTGAAAGTGGAAAAACGCGAGCACGAGAACCATTAGAAACCAAAGCCACTTGACTGACCGACTCCACGTGGACTCTTACGTTCACCGAGTACAGTCGAGTACGTTCACCAGGGCAACGAATGCACTTGCACTTTTTAAAAGAACCTGTTTCCACTGCAACGCGAACCTATATTGAAATAACCACACCTACTAAGAGTTCAGATCCATAGATCTCTTTGGAAAGGAGAATCTTTCCGTTACTTCGCGAGGTGAACAACGATAATAAAAATAATAACAACCGTAACACTAATAAAACTAATACGTACGCCCATGTTACACATATACCATGCATAGGTACTGATTATTTAACAAAATGAAAGGATCAGAAAGTACTAAAAAAATGCAGAGTTACATCATTTTCTGTGGTGTAAATTATGAGATTCAGAAACTGATAAGAACACTTTACGTGAAAAGTACGTGATTGAGGAGGTAGCGAAGGAGGCAACTGAGAAATTCTTTTAAATTCATTGCAATTTCACTCTCATCATTATGGCTTACTTGCCATTTAGTTCAATAACAAAAAGGAGTTCTTTAATCTATTTTTAACCAATAAGTAATAAATAAATTCGTTTGAAGTCCCTAACTGAATAATAAACATTATTATATACTAATGTACAACTTCTGAACATTATTCTTATCTATAAAAGATCAATTTTTAACTGCAACATATAATCGTTACTCATTTATTTCTTTGATTGCAAATGGTACGTATACTAATTTTAAGGGCAGCCTGTATAAGCGAAACAAGAGAAATTGTATCATTTTGTTCCTCCAGGCTAACCGTGCGCGCAGAGTAAAACTTTCACTGCGTTTATTATAACACGCTCGTTACATGCTGTTCTATGTGGCTAACCAGAAACGCTAACATTTTTCTGTCCTTCGTTCCTCACTTCTTTTAATGAAAATGAGCCAGTGTATCTTGTTACGAAAGACCGTTAATACCTTTAATGTTTATCAGAGCACGGCGAAATGCTTCCAGAGGATATCTCACTTTGGTTTAATTAAAAAAGAAAGTGTTTCCTACATACGAAATTTTCTATAAGAAACGCGACGTTTTACTCTGAATACGTCCTACAGTACAGCTTAACTAATTAAAATTAAAATGATAATTAAAATGATCAAAGCTACTCTTTACATGTTTGTGGCAATTTTAATAACTACGATCACATTGACTATTGTAATGACATAGGAAACTTTGGCAAATGGATAGAAGAAAGTAATTAAAATTAGCAGCAAAACAAGCTTCAATGAAAATAACACGAATTACTGATTTTGATAAACTATACGATGGAATCTACCTGAATGGCGATGCAGTGTTTGCAAAGCATTTGAAAATTCTAATACACTCAATTTTCAGAATGTTAGCGACGGACAACTGTTACACAACAATAGTACTTTACGTACTTATACACCCACTATTTTCTGCGATGGTTCTACCGAGGCCACCATCCTCGCCTAATCATATACGACGAGATCAAGGGCAGAGCAATCAAAAATTTTACGAAGACAAGACCATTCAAAGCTTCCTACAAAGTTCTAACGTCGAAAGACCTAACACTGACTACAGGTAACGATTATTTAAGTATCCACGATTAACTACTCTAAATTTAGTTTAACGCTATAAAATCTGCTTTTCCTCTGATTCTATTAATCTATCAATTCGTACTGAAATTGCACACTGTAGCACGAATTAAAATTTAAAAATTATTTATAAAATGATCAAAGTTTCTAAAGTGGGTTAATGAATTTCATAAAGAGAAGTAAGAGAAACTCTCATGAAAGTTACATTTATTACTGAAACGAATATTTCTTGAAAAGCGTATTCTTTTCATTAAGTACAAAATATTTTTTTTAAATCACTGGTTATTGTATTACCCCAAGTAAAATTGAGAAAATTACAATGAATAACCATTCACCATGCACCATTGCGATTACCTTGCACCTTCTACTATTATTTCCTTAAGTAAAAGTAAATCTTTTCTTCCAGTGTTCTAGAAATCGAATTACAAAGTCACGACGACATAGACCCTACGAATCTTCAAAACATAGTGCACGCAGTGTTGAAGGAACCCGATCAAATCCACAACGACACCTATCCAAACCCAGAAGTGGTTCCACGCTCAATTTTTGGCGTGAGAGACTTTGGTTTGACTCCAAATTTCAAACTGAAGATGTTCGACGAGGAAAAAGACATTCTAATGAATGCACCAAAGCTTCAAAACTTCGACGAGAAGTTCTACTATCTTAAATCCAACAGACCAAAAGTTTATGTAAATGTGAGAGGACACAGCGGTTCTTTTCGAAAGGACTCGACCTCGACCACGTCCAACAACGATCCAATAGGGTTTTTCAGAGTGAGACCTCATCACCAGAGCCAAATCGATTATAAATCTGAACATACTAAAACGACTCGACTGCCAAAGAAGTATGATCATCGAGTAGACAGGAACCGTGAAGGTCGAAGAAGTATTTCACGGACCGAAGCTAAGAAGCTGAGCAGAATAGCGTCGGTTTACGGTTTCGATGATCTTTCCACCACTGAAAACTCTATGGTGACTTCCAGCGAACTGCCAAAACAAATACCTGCACCGCCAGCTAGAATTTCAAGCAGAAGTTTAGTGGTACAAACTACACCTGTTCAGAGATATGCATTGAGAAGAACGGATATACTGCCAGGATATAGCTTCTCCGACGTCTGACCCTATGAACGACTGAACCAGGAGGAATTCTTATGGAAGATCTCAGTTCTATGAGGTCGATAAAGTCACGGGGATGCGATGCAACTTGTTCATAGCGATATCGGTTTATTTGCATTCAACAAAATTTGAAATTGCTGGATAATTTCATGTAAAGGACACCTATCATTGCTAACTACACGCTTGGATGTTCACCAGACGTTCGATAAGCTACATGATCTTTTGTGGATGCAACTACACATTTTGAGAAATATTTTATTCGTTTTAATGTAAAGGAAACTATTCGGGATACATCAGTCTTCATTAATCAAATAGATTCAATAAGTCAAAAAGTGAAATTTCTTAGCTTCTTGAGAAATAATGTCTAATGAGAAGGATTAGTGAACTATAAGAGCACAAGGTTTAGTGAGTTTCCCCTAAAATATCTACTAGCAATAGGTGAACTATCTATACACACAAATAAACTTTGTTTTAATGTACTCCTACCAATTAATTGTTCTCATTCTAGACATGGATTTTACGTTTCCAATTTTCCAATCAAAATTGGCAATTAAACAAATTTTAAACATTACTCGAAGTAAGCTGTAATTCATATCGTCAAAACAAAATAATAGAGTCTGATTTGTGAACGCGTTCCATCCTGTAATATGTGTGACACCTAGTATTCACAGTTTTATTTATTTTAACTGCAATTGCGAATTATAAATTATTATTGTACGGATTTACGTTATTATTGAATATTAATTTATGTTGGATTCTATTATTTCCATTTGGTGGATTGACATCTTTTTTATTCTCTATGTGACTAACTGTTGTCGATAACATAACCTTGATGCAGACTATGCGTAACTAGGTAACTTCTATAATTATGAATGAAGAAATTCAAAAATAAAGTATTTATAATATATATTATATACGTATATTTTTTATATACACGTATACATATTAATTGTTAATATAGATTGTATGATATTATATAATATGTAAATATAATAAAAATAAATGTACAGGTGGCCACGTACATGCATTGAATAATATTTTGTTTAATTTTGTGAACTCTTACGCACGACACGAGACATTTTATCAAAGTGTCTGATATTCAGGAATAATACACGTGATGAATTACCATAAAACATTTGTTAATTAAAAAAAAAATAAACTTACCTGTTCAGCCTTCAGTGTAAGTTCTATAAAGATCTGTTGTAATTTTTCATTGGCAAAATTGATGCAGAACTGTTCAAATCCATTCTTCTCGAAGATTTCAAATCCGTAGATATCCAAAATTCCAATCTCGAGACTATCTGCAGTAGTCTCCATAGCGCAATTAACTTTCTGTAAAACAATTAAAACACATTAAATTAAAAAAACGAGTTGGTCTGGTAAGATAAATAGATATTAACAAAAATAAAACGACTGAAGTATTAATTTTCTTTACAAATCTTTCATAAATACGTATACTTACTTTGACCAAATAATCGAAGAGCCTGGAATAGATATCTTTCGCCAAAGCATCTCGAGTATAAAGAGCTTGTTCCACATTTAGCGTGACATCGACGCTTTCAGATTGACCACCCCATTTCGATTCAAACTCGCGTGATATTAATTTATGGGCTAGTTGGTCTGCGGAGATTTCAAGTAAATAAGCTGGATAATCGAGAGCTGAAACATACAAATAATACGCACATCTTTAAAACCCAAAATTTCATTTTTTGATCATTGAAGAAACTACAATTAACTGGTTAGCGAATACTTACTGTTTTTATCACTGATTTGTGAATAATTTTCGTGCTCAGCAAATTCAATATTTCCTATGTGAAGTATTCCAGAAACTATTCTACAAATATTAGTTGTCTCCGTGTCGCTTATTCCCATCACGCTTAATGCTAGAATAGTTACAATAAAATGCTTCAATTATTAAGGCTTCCGAAATTTGAAGTTATACTTAAAAATTATATTAAAATATCAATGTTATATTTTGATACTCTTACCTTTTAATGTTTCTTGAAATTCATGAGCGTCATTGATGCCCTCAACTCTGTGGTTTTGACCATAGTGGAGATATTGATAATAATTAAGGTCCGTTAATCCAAACTCGGCTGCAAAATAAAATATTTAATGTATATACAATATTCTTATATAATAATAGATGTCAAGGCAAATTAAATAATGTATGAAGATATAATGATCAAGAATATATAACATTTGAAATAGAAACAATGAAGGTGAATGTTATATATAGTGAAAACGAGATCTCAAGAAAGTAAAGTATAGGTAACGATCATTTTTAACTGATATTTACATTTCATTTGTTGGTTTGCACCCGTGATTAGTTGATAGAACACATGGAAGTTTCTTTCGTCGCAGTTATGAGAAGTAACCCTCGACTTCTCTAAGAGGAAGTTTGAAACTTTTCCTCCACTTGGTTGACCACCACGATCAAACTGCATTTGTACGTATTTACCCTAGAAAAAAAGATTTGTAGGATACTTGAACTTTTATTAATTATCCATTAACAATTGTCTCTTTGACGACACAAAGGAGTATTTAAAGTATACGTACAAATCTGCTACTATTATTATTCCGAACGGTTTTTGCATTTCCAAAAGCTTCCAAAAGGGGATTGGACTCCAGAATTACATCTTTCACTTTCTGGACACGCTTACCACCACCGCTGACCCTTGCGACGTACGACATTATATATTTCGCAGCTACAGTTTTTCCAGCACCAGATTCACCACTGTAACAAAAGAAAATTATATTTAGAATGTTGTAAACAAATATAGTTATTAGATATAGGAGTTAATTCTGTGCTTTATTTAGTCGTTATTTTATTAGATTACATCACCAACTAAATTGATTTTCATTACAATGTATCTATATGTATATACGAAGTTCAGTAGCTAAGAAACTTTAATTATTGTCCAAGAAAGGTCCAGAATCACTAAATATAATAATTAATCACTAAATATTTAATTTTGTCAACTTTACAGTATTTGTAGTAAATAAATAATTGTTTGAAACAATTCAATTGCTTCGAGCGTTACCTAATGATAACACACTGGCTTTCATAATCAATTAACATATTTCTGTACATGTCATCCGCAAGTCCATAGATGTGTGGTGGATTCTCATACGGGGCCTAGAAAACAGGAAAAATTAGAATTATAAACATTTCTCGTTGAAAAAAGTTGTTAATTATCGCAACTAACCGCTCCTTGATAAATTTCTATCTCCTTCTCTCCGAAATATGGCATCTGCTTGAAGGGGTTGATCGATACTAGTACGGGGCCGATGCATGTCTAGTAGTCATTAAGAAAATTACTGCAATTTGCAATTACACACCGATTCAATGTCACATTTCAGAATAGGCAACATTCTGCATATTCTGGTAAAATGAATATACAGTCAGTTCCATAAGTATTCGTACCCTCTGGGTCTATTGAAGAAATATATCTAAATTAAATGATGAATGTATTCATGGAATGATTGGGATACTACAGCATTCTTTTTTACACCTATAAAGTTGATAACCTCCTTTTCGCCAATTATACAAGTAGCATTTATCTTAGCTCTTAATCCTACAAACTCTGTGCATTATGACGCCATTCTTTTCATCTTTCATGCAAGTGGGAACTTTCATATTCACGCAGAGGATATTATGCACGTTATCTACCACACAATCGCTAGTATCCAGTCTAGCCTACATTGTTAATGCGAATTGCTATAAAATTACAAAACGTTATAGATAAGTCTTACAAACCAACGTACTCCATAAAATTAACTTATCAACTTATAAATGAAACAAGAACAATTTACTCCTTTTAAAACTAATGAAAATTGAATAAATAACTAAATTATACTAAATAAATCTTAATTGATAATCAATTCTTAATTATGTAAAAAAAGAGAATTAATTGCATAATATCATTAAATAGTTTTTTTCTAAAATACATGTAAGAAAGGATACAAATATGTAGTCATCCATATATCTCTTCCGAAGATTTTCAGTAATAGTCTCTTCCGTAATTTTCGGGAGCAAAACCATATCATCCACTCCTGAAAGTTTGACATTTTGACTCTGCCAATGATAAACCTGAAACAAAATCAAAATCCATATTAATACAATGATTATCATTTGATAAATCATGTTTGGTTTACTCCGTTTAATATTTCTCAATTTTCAAGATAAACATGAGCCAGACTACTCCTGAAGCAAGTACTATTTACTATATTAAACCATTAATCGCGCCAATTACATAATAACTAATCACTTAAATAAATGCATAATTAGTAACAAATGGAATGCTCTAAAATTTTAATCCGAATCACTTCAAAGTTCGTATCATGACATACTCTTAACTCGAACGTACTACTTTCGAATAAGAATACATTTTTGATAAACGTAAAAATATTTAATTGCTGATTCATATAACAATTAATACTTAATTGCCGAAGAATCACTATTTCAAGATCAGACTATTTCGCGTCTCGATGGTGACGTAAACTCCTCGGTTCGAATCAAACATTCTGTACTTAGATGTTCCCATTTAAATGCTCTATTCTGTATATAATTCTCGAAGCCAAGCATGTGCAAGCCAAGCAATACCAACCGCCTGCATTGCGGAGAGAGATAAAGAACAGTCCTGGATTAAAGGGAACAGGGCGCTACTGATAAGTACAATGTGGACAGGAAAAGGAGAAATTAATTTCAACAAAATGACTGAATAAATATATTCGAAACCAAAATTTTGTTTTCTGCTATCCTTCAAGAACCCGTTATTTTGAAAACACTGTAAAAAAACTTCATAACTCTTGATTACCTGAACGGATAATAATTAAAACGATAACTACTCGTCTTTAGGTGAAGAATTTTTAAACAAATATGCAAAAAGTAGGCCGATCTTCAAAAATTTATAGCTTTCTTATTAATGAACATTTTGGATTGAAACTTTTTTTCGTTGTAGATCTCGTGGGGCTATACGAATAACATATACAAAGTTTCTCTCTAAAGTGAAAACACGATTTTTGAAAAATAAATGAAAACATTAAATTTCTCGAGAAGACTCGTTGGTAGTCTTTGAACAGTTAGACGACTGCATCCTGCTAGATAACATTTGCATGGAGACGTTCCGCTGCCTTGAGCTCGTTAAATCGAATCAAAAGGAAGACGCCTTGAAAGAAATGATTGTCGTCATTGACGCTGATCTATTACACCTACATCTTGCGGTGCAGTTAGGGTCACCAAACTTACTCTTGTCGAGATGACAAAACAACGTACTATAACTTTTCGCTTTTCGAAGGCAAGTTGTTCTTTTTTTAAATAACAAAATGAAAAGTTCGGATTGGACGATATTACTTAATTTATTACCTCTTGTTTGCTATTTATATTGCAAAGTTTATTAAAATAATTAAGGTTTACGTATTACTTAAACAGTCGATACTATATCATGTTACTTTTCCATTTTGACCCACAAATAACCCTTTTAAAGTTTCGTAATTTTTCCTCTTACTTTCTCATCTACGATTGTTTTATAGCTCCCTAAGTACAAAAATAAAATGAACATCTCATATTCCTTGTTTTTTTTTTTTTTTTTTTTTTTTTTTTTTTTTTTTTTTTTTTTTTTTATCAATTAACTTGTGGATGTATAAACATTCAAAAGAGTTTGGCGTTATTCGAATAAAATTTCGATAAAATTCTGCCTTGACTCGCACTCGAATTGTTCGTTCGAATAATTTTGTATCTGGATTTTTTTAATTCGAATACGTTCTTCAGAACTGATACGATATACGTGGACAATGAAAAGACAACTTTTTAAAAAGATTGAACAACGTTTCGCTGAAGCATAGCACGCTAATTTCGTGCGGTGTTATTTCGTTGTCACCGAGTGTAGTTCCTTTTAAACCGTCTTACTAATGATGAATAATAAGTGTTAAACACAGAGCGTGGATCGCGTGTACGATTGTGTTGACACGCACAGATTTTAAATAACGCACGCGGCGTACGTTGGCTAGATATAGATTGTTTTCAGTTGGGAAAGGAATGTCTCCTTGCACCGGAAGGACACGGACACAATGGCATCAATCGAACATTTTATGACCTGGAAATGATCATATATGGCGATGGTATAAGCGCAGAAAGGACATTGGTTTTACCAATGCCCTGATGCAGCTTCTAATATATGGGTGACAGTGATTTTCACTGAAAAACTACGAAAATTAATTCTGAAAGTTAAGTGTCACAGAAAATGAATTTAAATAAAATACTTGAACTTCAATGAAGTTACAAAACTAAACACCACAATAAATGTTACATTACACAGTTTCCAATAGACTGTAAACAAAATTTAATCGCAGTAGAAATTTTCAAGAGTATTGGTTTGGCAGTGAACGTGTTAATACAAAATAGAAATAAATGTAACTTGAGTTTTTAAATTCAGGTTAATACGCATCGAGAAAGATACGACATTTTGTTACACAAAAGTATTATTGGATAAATTACTGTCAGGGACTCAATCGTTAAAAAAAATTTAATTTCTTTGCTTCCAAAGTAAAATGTATGATAATGTTATGAATTTTTAAGGAAATCTACATACAGTGGGTGTGATCGGTGTATTCGTACACCGATCAATTTCCCAAAAAACTTTTTGTGTGAAATTGTAGTTTCTTAACTTTTTTGTAATCAATGATATTTTACACATTCTCGGAAGTCTCTAAGATAGATATAGTCCAAACAACATTTACTAGTTAATAGAATTTGTGAAATTAACAAAAAGATGCGAAAAGTGGGTGAAAGTATAGAAGCAATAAGTATTTGTAACGTAAGCACATTCGTTTATTGCTCCGTATGAATTAGAAAACATCAAATTTCCAGTAAAGTACTTTTAAACAGATGTGCGAATACTTATTGCTTCAACATTTCTATCGATTAATTGTTTTTTTTTCTTGTTAATTTCGCAACTTACTTAAATATTGGGTTGTCCGGAAAGATCATGCCTATTTTTAAGAAATATTCAAAGGCATATTTGAATTTTGATTTATATTTATTGAATTATATATGTACCATTTTGTTCCACAACCTTTCCACCTGTTAAGGAATGTACACATATTATTTGTTTTCAGTTATTCCGATATATTTAGACCTGTACCGTCTACTAAAAATCGGCATGGACAGCCCAATAACTATTTTTTTTGTAATTTATCTATTCTAGAGATTTCCGAGAATATGTAGAATGACATTGTTTATCAAAAATAAGTTAATAAATTACAATTTTACACAGTTTTTTTTTGGAAATTGAACAGTGTACGAATACTTCTTACACCCGCTATATATTCAGGAAGAAATTCTGCCTTCATTTTTCTCATTTGTCTCTACATAGATACGGTCCTGAGCAATCGCAGCTCAATGAGCGGTCAGCTATGGCCATCCTTCGTGCAGATAATGAGCACAACCAAGAAATGCATGTAACGCTTGAGTTTGAAATTTCAAATGAAGAGCCGTTAGGAGAAATTTCTAGAAAAATGAAACGACCAGATGAATAACTTGATTATCCCAGTGCCAGTCACGATAATTACAAAAACAAATCACGATGTCAAACTCGTTAAACAGTGCATAATGGAAAGTTGCTAAGTTTCTAATTATCTTAGGCTGACAGTCTTTGATTCGAAAAATTGTCAAGTTTCTAGTTATATTAGTTAGGTTGACAAAGTGTGTTAATTTGTCCAGCAGCGGTCTCCGGATTGTCACTACTTTTGTCTCTCAGGATGTTACGGTTAATAACCATTCCTGCCACTTCTTCGGTCTACCGACATGGAACAAGTCATCCCGTTATCTACGAGTCGCAATCGATGATGACTCAAAGTTCCTAATCAGTAACCGAGACGGAGCAGCGAAACATTTTCTTCTTCTACTTTATCGTTAATAATGTTAAATATTATAGGAAAACTGCTGTATGCTAAAGTTCCTGTACAATTCGTTGGATCTAGAAGACGTAACTTGTTCTCTTTCAAATAATAAAGCTAACTATGTTACATTAGATTAGCTTACATTATATTAGATTCATCTCGTTCATTTCATTTAAAGAATTTCAGAACGAAAGAATTACTTAATAATACGCTACATTTTATCGTCTTCCTCAATCCTGAATCATTATACTAACAAGGAAACAATTGAAATGCTCTTAATTTAGGGCAGCAACCTGAATGCTGCAACGGTATAGTAACTACGCTGAGCAATTGTCCGTTGCATCGCGTGTTTGATCGACCACTTCAAACTAAAATGTGAAACTGGATATTTGAACCAAAGAAGACGAAATATACTTTAAATTAAACAATTCGGCATTCAATTATCCTGTAGTATACACTAAGTAGACAAATCTCTAATTATTAGATGTAGAAATTAATTCTGTTCCTTTATATTTATTAATTTATAACTCTAGTTTAAACAGATATACTTACTCGTTATTTTGATACATTAAAGTCCCAACCTTCCAAGTTCTCAACCTGATCTCTATTGCAAAGTATCTATACGAACTTCGGTATCCGTGAAATTTAGCTTATTAAATGCTTATGACATTTAGCTTGTTGGTATATCAAATATCTAATTATCAAGTACACTTGAAAACTGTTAGAAAAACTTACAGGTCCTCAATTATAAATTGAACGACAGTGATTGAAAGCCGACTTACTAGAATACAGGAAAGGCAAAAGTAATTTATTATTAACGGAAAACTAATCTGATAGCTCAGACACCAATGTAATCAAACGTTAACACAATCCCGTAGCTCAGCGAATAGTGTAATGAAACACAAAGTCTATCCCCTAGCTGAGCGACTAAAGTAATCAAACGCAAAATGTATCCAGACTCGCTCACTTCCGTTTGATTACGTTTAAAAGTGAAAAACGAAACCAGAATGGTTTTCAATCATAAAACGATAAGAAGCAGTATTTATTGGCTAATGAACTGTATGCAGATTTATTCTAATTACCATCAAGTTGAGACTTGGGTACCTAGATACTGTCGCTGAAAGGGATCTTGTGAGGTCGTAAAGTCGTTCGGACATCGATCTTTACAACTTAAGTCGACCGCAATTAGTA